TGTTAATGGGCCTAATCCTGTTTAATGTTTTAAGTTGTCTGGGTGTCCCATCACTAATCAGGGGCATTCTAGTAACTTCCTGTATCATTGTACTACACCATAATATAAATAATAGTACTGTCGACTGAGCAGAGAAGTTCGGCATTCCAGCAACTCTTCTTCTTCTTCTTCTCTTTTCTGCTACTTCGGCTACAGTAATTTAGCTTTCATGGAGGAAATGCCTTGGAGAGATGACATTGATACCAAACACCATCTTCATTAGGCTCTTGCTCTACCATTATTCTGCAACAAGTGTTTTATCTATTTGTTGTGTGCTTTTTGTGTATCTTTATTATTAAATCTCAAATTTAGTTACTTTTATCTTTTGAGTCTTACCCTTTCTCCACTGCAGATGAATTCCCCTAGTTCTAAGTCTCATTTATTCTCTTATTGTATTCCTATTTCCTCTTTCTTTATTTATTGCTACTCTTAAGTTTATGCAGTTATCTTCGAATGATAGAGATTCTTCCTTATTATTTCTATCACTATGATCTTCCAAAGCTCTAACCGACCTGTAGTCTATATTCCCAACCCCCTTACACCCTACCAGACCTGCTCCTTCTTTGTTTATTAATTTTTAGAAACCCTCCTACGCTCTTTCCAACCCCTATTGGTTATTAAATTTGGCAAGTATTAAACTAACAAGCTCAAGTAAAGGCATCATCAAATTGCAAAAGCAACTAATAAAATTGTGTTCGTTGCAAAAAAAAAAAAAAATAAAGAAAAAATTAATTCTTGCATCCTAGAGATGACACTGGGAAGTGATGGAAGTCTCTTAAGATGGAAAAGAATAGAATCATAGAGATCAGAGGTTAAGAGGGCGACACCTATGTCTGTGCATTGCTCTCCAGTGATTTGATAAGAATCCAAAATATTAAAGACTATAAGAGTTTAATTATAAACGTCACCAGTAAATTGAACCAGAAACGAAAGGAAAGAATGATCAAATTGAAAACGAAGACACAATTATCGATGGAAAGCAATATGATTCTGCAACAGGAAAAGAAATATATCATTAAAAACTTACGGGCAGCAGTGAATCCAAAGAATCACCCTGGCGGGCTCGTTCTTTTAGAATCGAAGTTCTCTCTCTCAATTCCGAATCAGATAACGCTGATATCTCCGCTTCCAACCCATTAATTAAATTAACAGTTCCAGCATACTGCTGTCTTGTAGCCTCCCCAGTATCGGTCCCCTTAAATAGGCGACCGAGCAGACCTCCCAACGACGCCATCGGACGCAATCGACGCTCTCTAAAACCACCAACTTTAGAGGTTTTGACGCCGAAATCGCACGTCGGGCGTGGCTCTCTTCCGAAAAAAGAGGTACCCAATTCGGATTTAGGATGGTAATTGCAGTGGCTAAGTAGAAATTTGGAAGAAAAAACTGAAGCAGATGGACAGTTCTTGACAGCATGAGCCGGGAATGGAGACGCCGCCATTATTTTTTGTGGGAATTAAGAAATGAATAAACACAGATTGAACGGGAACAAGAGTTGCAGAGATTTGGAGAGGTACTTGCTTAAACGGCCCGAAACTCAAATTTTCTTGTTGCCCATTTTTTATCCTTCTCCGGCCGTTGCTTGCAAGGTTTGGGGATCAATTTGTGGAGGGAAAGCAGAAGAGTTTGGAGTTTAGAGGATAAGGTGAGCGACTGGACCGAGCGGGGTAAAGGTGGCCCGGCCCGCCTTCAGCCTTCACCTATGGTATCGCCCGAGTCTCACAGACTCACTCACTCACTCACTCAGAGGACGAAGAAGAGACAAGCTATTATCTATTTAATTTACGTATAATTGTTACGCACTCAATGTCTATGCTATATGCCAAGCCTACAATGCTGACGAAAGCCAGCTACTCACCATAGGATACGACGATATTACGATTTGGATATTTAAAGTGAAGTGGCATGTATATTTATATGCCTACAATTATGGTAAATAAATGAATACTTATAATATAATCAATTATACAAAGTTAAATTGTCCAAAATCCACTAATTCTCTTAGGTGAATTAGGGGAAAAGAGTCATTTAGGTTAGGGTTAGACCAAAATTCTCTCTCTCCAGTCGAATTGTTTTCTTTTGTGTGTTGAATTCTTCATTTAAATTTCTCTTGAACTTGAAAGGGTTTACATTTGTTATCCAACAAAATTAGGTCAAAAAGGTTCTTTTATTCCTTTTTATTGAAAATCTTTAAATCTTTTTCTGAATCTCCAGATTTGATCAGGTTTTTCCCTTTTTGTCTCAAGCGGCTTCAAAATTGGTTAGTTCATCTTCTATTCAACTAATGCTCATGATTTTTTTGATTGGTTTGAATCTCATGATTTTTGCTTAAAAGAGTTTTATGTCAGTTCTCTCTTTCTATTTTATAACATTCGATTTGGATCTCGAGCTTCAACCTCGTTGTTGAAAACTGAGAAATTCATAAAAACCAAGTTTTGTTCTCTTTTCATGGTGGAGTTTTGTGGAATGTCTAGGAAAAAAATGGAGACGAAGGAGACATCTTAAGATGAACGGCGTCTCAGAGACTTCTACTCGTACTACTAGAATTGTTGCAGGTCACCACTGGTTGGGTCTCGATCATTTAAAGTCACTACTGGTTCAACAGTGATAGAGGAGATCGAAAGAGAGAGAGCTTGCAACGGCGGTTGAAGAAATCGCCGCTTGCCTTCTTCTCTACTGCACAAGAAAAACGAACCAATCTCATATCTGAGTTCAGATCATGAACAATACAAGGAGGTGACCTGCAGGTTGAAAAAATCGTGGGTAGAAACAACGATGACCACTACTGTCTCTCAAGCCCTTTTCAATTTTCCCTCTCTGAATCCCATAGCCGGTGAAAGGGGACTACTCATCACCCCCTTCCTCTCGATGTGGATGACCTCCACATCTCAGATCTGGGTTCAAATATGAATGGATGACCTCCATTCTTCTATCAACGGGCTTCGCGATTGGATTTTGAGTGAAATATTGAGATTGGCGTGAGCGTAGGTCAAATCCCATTCCAGATTGGCGTGAACTTCGCTATTGTCAATCTCTCTAATGGTGCTGCTTACGCATCAATGGCTTCTGCTGTTGGACCGAAGAGAGCTTAAGCCGAGTTACAATTTGCAAGGTTTTAAACCGACGGCGATCTGGTGTTGACGAGTTTCATTTGTCTTTTTCAGTTTTCAATTTTCTTGTATTTTGTTATAATTTCTAATGAAAGAAATTTTCATTTTGTTTTTCAATTTTCTTTTGTTATAATTTCTATTTTTTTTCTAATTTCTGTTTTTTTTTACATTTTTCTATTTTCTACAATYTATAAATTTTTCTATATATTTTGTTATTTATTTGCAATTTCTATGTTTTTCTGTAATTTTAAATGTTTTTCTACAATTTTTATTTTTCTGATTTTGTTTTCAATTTCTATAGTTTTTTATATTTTTTGTAATTTCTGTGTTTTTACGTATTTTATATTTGAAAATATTTTTTGAACATTTTCCCTTTTTTCATGTTTTTGTAGTTAAAATATTAAAATATATAGATATATATTTTATATTTTTCTATGAAGGGTAAAATGGTAATATGTTAATTCCCATTAGTTAGTTTAACATCAAGTTAGTAACATGATGAGTTTTGGACGTTTTCAAAAGTTGTGATGAGTTTAAGAGAATTCATAAAAAATGATGGTGGGTTTTGGACAATTTCCCTTATATAAAAGATGTTTATATATTTATATTTTATAAAATGTATTTATCAATCATATTAAAGATTTTAATAATGTAGATTTTGAATTGTTTTATTATAAAGTATAACTTATTATAAAGAATTTGGATAGGTCTATAGTTTGCATGTTTTCTTTTTATTTAGATGTGTGGTAATCCAAACTTATAAATATATTTACTAATAAATGGTAGAGAAAATTTCTGATTAGTTCCTGTACTTTTTATTTAAAACACAACAATTCACTATCCAAACTTTCAAAATGTGTCAATTCATATCTGATGTTAATAAATCTGTTAACCAGCCATTAAATGAAATTTGATAAGATATAAATGCCCTTTGAGTCTCATCTATTTTTTTTATCAACCATCCACATGTTGATAAAAAATGAACAGTCTCAAATCCTTGCCTCTTCTATTCAAGAAATTTGGGGTTACGTCTCAGTAGGAATTATAGTGACCCCAACTTTCTTGAAAAGAAGAGGCAATGGTTTGGGACTATTCATTTTTTATCAATGTTTGGATGGTTGATAAAGAGAATTAGATGATACTTGAAGGGTATTTGTGTCTTTTCAAATGTCACTTAACGAATGGTTAATGGCAGGTACTAGATTGGCATGTTTGGAAAGTTTGGGTACTAAATTGTCGTATTTTAAAGTTTGGAGACCAAAGTGGCACTAGAACCAAAGTACAAGGTATTAATTTGGAATTTTCCCTATATGGTACTACCAACCCATACTCATTGATACAGTGATATGTAACCAACACAGCAATCTTGACTCCAACCTATTTGATCCATTCAATTCACCCACCTTGGAATTCATCCATACTCATCCATTCTATTGGCGGGTCAATATGGGTCAAAAAACCCATTAGGGTCAATGGAAAATGGCCAACATGTAGGATTTCAATCGAGCTCGAGCTCGAGCCTACTAGAGCTCGGCTCGTAAGGTTCGCGAGCCAGCTCGAATATATATATATATATATATATAATAAAAAATATTATAACTCTTATTTATTATAATTCTTAATTTTTTAAGTATAAAATAATTTTTTTATATATTTTTTATTTTTATAAAATATTTTTTCTCAAAATCGAGCTTGAGCTTATGCATTTTTTACTCGAACCGAGCTCGAGCCTGGTACTATTTAGCTCAGCTCAGCTCGAATCCACCCCTATCTGGTCTGGGACAGGGTAGAACCGCTCTGAACCGATTGCTAAAACTGATAGTACCGGAACCAAACCAGACCCGATCAGTTCTATTATTTTACAACCGGTACTGAACCAACAGGCCAATCAGAACAATCGGGTCTAACCCAATTGGACCTGATTAAATAAAAACCCATACTTAAGATGGTAAGACTTGTAATTTTTTATAAAAATATTCTATATTAATAAAAATCTATATATTAATTAATTAATACTACTAATGAATACAACATCAAAAAAGGACGGACTTGATGCTAGTTTGATAAGAAAAGAACATTTTGTTCAATAACTTGTTATCAGAATATCAGTAGGATATTTGTCAAAAAAACCCCTGTTATACTTATATAATTTGCTAAAAGTCAATCTATAAACAACATACAATCTTATATAATTTCAATTAAACCTTACTAAAACAAAATAATAGCAATTAAATTGAAGATAATGGGAAAAAACTAAGCAAACCTGCCTATATCGAGTGATCTTGAAATCAGACTGCCTCCTTATTCAAGAACTGAAATATTTAGCAATTAAGCTAAAGCCCACTTACTAGTCGTCCATTTATTTGGTACTCCCAGTCCCAGGTTCACATGGGTGGCATTTAAACTATGATAAACTTTTTCTCTTCTTCCCCATCTTCTTTTTTTCTTTGTCCATGGTCGAGCTTGGTGTGTAGGAGACGGTGGTCACTGAGAATCGGTGATATGCAGAGACAGTGATGAGAAACTTTCTCAGAGAAAAGTGACAAGTAGAACTTTAGAAGCTAAAGCCTCATGCGGCAAAAGCAAAACAAAAGGGTAAAGCCAAAAGGTTTTGAGCTCAAGGGTTTTAGGTGTTAAAAGTAAAATTACAATTTTAGGCATACCTATAACTCTAGAACATGTTTATATAATCGGTTTGGGACAGTCAAAACTGCTCTCGAACCAATATTAATTAGGACACAAAATAAAACCAGAACTGACCCAGAACCGATAATTACGGTTTAGACAGCTCGGGTCTATCGGGTAGACCCGACCCATTGACAGCCTATCAGGGTGGGTTAGGTCAAGAGGGTCAAGATGGATTGTGTCGACAATTTCACCAAGCCTCATAAAAATGCATTTGAGGTGACTCGAACTCAGAACCACCTCACGCGTCCGCAACTTGCTCCAATTCCAAGCCATATTTCATTTTTGTGATTAAAAGTTAAATAAAATAGATTTTATTAACTTTTGTGTTCACATGCAATTTAAACAAAAAGGACATATTTATATTTAACTACTCTAGCTAAAAATTTAAAAATAATATTAAAAAATAGTATTTTATAAACTAATAGAATAAATAATCTATCAAATCTACATTTATATAAAAATATGATTTTTAATATCAAAAAATGTATACAAATAGAATCTAACTATCTATCTATCTATATATAGCAAGATAGTCCATGTCAGCATGCTTTTCCTTGCTCCATTATCCCCACCCTGCATTCTCCTTGACTCTCTCTCCTCTTCCCTTTCCACCCCTCCATTAAGCCATGTCACCATTCCCAACCCAACTACCTAAACATATTTCTAGAATCTCTCTCCTAAGGTATCTCCTCTAAGCCATTAGGAACATATCATATTACCCCATTCCCCAATCAATTCCTAATTAAAATCTCTCCTTCCAATTTATATCCATTCTCTCATTTAAAAAATTCATATTAATTAATAAATAGTTAAATATGGTTAATATTTAATCTAACATCCGATGAGTATTAAATAGTGTTATTTCCAAAAGGTAATAAATACAGTTAGTAAATCACCAAAAATTAAATATTCTTA